CTCTTATAACTGGCTCTTCTTTTACTCCAGTCTTCTAAAACAGTGTCTGGAGGATGAGGAAACCGGAACTGAACTTTGCATTCTAGCAAAGGACACCTGTGGGACTACATTACACAGGGATGAGAGAGGGACTTGTCGATAATTGCAGGGCTGGAAGATGAGATGAAATGTGAAGTGTGGCATATAATCGGTCCATTTGAAAGTTTGGGCTTGGGGAACGTCTGGAATCCCCATTCCTTCAGGCTCTTTCACGCAATTATGTGCAATTTAATTTTAATTGCTTCTTCAAGTCAGCACCCACACAATGATTAACAAAACCACCTTACTCCTTAAATTTGAAACAGCAAACAATGTTATAACTGTCATACATTTGTGGGGTGGAATAAGCAGTTCAGAAATCAAGTAGTTCAGACCAAAAATAGATTCAGTGCAAAACTCCTACATTTGTATTTTAACCTCATGATTTTTATTAGAGAGGAATGAGATCTGTCTTAATATGGAGGTTGTTTTCTTTCCTTAATATGGGGAGTTAGGAATAATGTTGCATTTTTTTAGAAGACGGAAACAAGTTTACTGTTTTAAAAGATAAACAGACTGTCAGTGTTGAATGGCATAAAGTATATTTCCTGTACATGCCTCTCTACAATTGTTTATGTGCACCTGTAGACTTCTGTGAGACTTCTGTGTAGACTTCATGTTTTATGATTTGTTAGGCCATGTTTGACAGGAATTAGAACTGCATATGGCTATACTGCTATTCCGTTGGATTTTGATTAAAATGGCTTAATTTTGCTGGCAGTTCCTTATAATTAGTATTATAAATTCTTTACTACACTGGAGTGAAATATTTGGGTTATGCTAGATAGTTCCATGAAAACATTAACTCAGTGCTCAGCAGTGGTGGTCAAGAAAAGCAGATCAATTTTTTTAGGAATCATTAGGAAAGGAATTGATACCAAAACAGTGAATATCAGCATGCTGCTATACCAGTCTGTAGTTCACCAGAGGAACTGGAAAAGCTTTGGAGAAGGGCAACAAGGATGATAAAAGGTAATGAATGATTTCCATGTGCAAAAATACTTGGTAAGTGCTCAGTCTGGAAAAAAAATTAAGAAGAGCTATGTAATCAATATCTTGAAAACTGTGATTGGCATGGAGAGGATGGATGGGAATTGACTGTTCAGTGTCTGAGTACAAGAACATCACATGGAGGTACTGGGAGCCAGGTTCAGAACAAAGGATGATGAAAGTTTACATGAAATCAGTAGGCTAGTGCATGGAAGGAAAGTCCATGGAGCATTACAGAATATATAGAAACTACATTCAACCCAGGAAGCCCCTGAGCAGAAAATGGTTGTTGGCTGACAAGAGTATTAGGAGAAAGTAATACATACATTTGCCCTGTTCTTCCTTTTCTTAGCACCTGTTTATGGCACTCAGAGACAGGATATTGGGCTAGATGAAACCTTCATCTGACTCAGTAGGGCTGTTCTTGCTATAAAAGGTTCATTTACTTACTTAAATAACTTTAACCTCATGACAAATTTGAGGAAATCATAAGTATTTATTCAAAGCTAAACATCATAAATGAAGTCAGTAAGCTAAATTCTTACCCCCATTTACCAGTACCCATGAGAAGAAAATAGAGGGAACTTATTGAAAGTATTCTTCATTTTAATCAGTTTTTACTCTGGAATATGCCCCCCAAACTCCTATCAATATTGAAGAGGTCTGTGGGAGGCTGGGTGTCTATACCAAATCTCAGGTCTGATCATTCTCCATGGTTCTTTTTCAAACATCCCTTAATCTTTCCAGTTAACTTGTCTATAACATAGACAATAATACTAGGTCACCGATGTGCTGTAAGGGTTTTATCTGTACAATGCTTTGAAAATATTCAAAGCATAAATACATATTTGAGTAGCAGGGTTTAACAAAGATATAAAATTTTATTTTCCATTGCCTTCTGATAAGAACAATGTCAGATATAATGTTGTTTAAAATTATAAACTATTGATTGAAAAGTTCCTGATTATTTTCAAATTACTCAATTTCTTCCAAGTACAATATAAAAGTTACATCTGGTAAACAATGATAACAGATAGATTCTGTAACGTACTGTAGTAATAAATGACTGCGTTCTGCGCCCTCCTACCCTACTGAATACAGCTTGATTTTCAAGACAATTGAATGTTGTTCAAGAACATTGTTCTTGGAACAACTCTGATGATAAAGTGTTTGGGAAATCAGTTAGAAAAAGAATGAAGAGTACAGAAATACAGCTATCGTGGGTAAAGGTCTGATGGCCAACCACCAGTAATAAAAGTCCCATAGAAATTGAAACATTTGGGGACAGTCCAATGATCCATGTAGCTTAATGTCCAGAGAGGCCAATTCCTAATGCTACAAGAAAGGCATAAAACTGCTTATAATGCTTATAACTGGGCAACACTAAAACAAGAGGGAGAAATTTGGCTTGAGTACAACTTGTAATAAGGTTATATTGAAGCACTGCCATCCCTTGTACTCATATAGCTGTAGAAATTTACTGATATAGGCTCTTTACTCAGAGGCAGTGGGATTTCCAAAAGTGCCCATGTGACTAAGGAACACTAATCGCATCAGCTTGCAATAACACTGATGCACTTCAGTCACCAGATGTTCCTGCAAATCCTGTCTGTAATTTGCTTCAGTAATACTCCATTGCCTGTCCAGCTACCCTGTCCCATTGCAAGGTAGTGAAAGGCTTTTATCAACACTTTTCTTGCCATGATGAAACCTGTCTTATAACCCCATTACTTGTTGGAGATTAACAAGGTTGGGATGCAGGGGGTTAGAACTGGCTCCTGCTCCACCCTACCTCTGAAGTTGAATATGTTTCTATTGTCATTCTTGGTTCCCTTTTAAAAATAACTTCAATTCATAGGTCAGCAGTTAAGTATTCCAGCTGCCAAACATGTTAAAATCTGCCAAAACCTATTTTCCTGAAAAATTTTTGCTCTTGATTTATTTTTCACATTCACCCTCCTCTCGCATAAGGAGTCAGTACTGGGTTAGCCCATTGCTAACTACTGTTTCAGAATTCATTTCATTTACAGTGAGCTGGCCTGAGAACATTAATAGTGTGTATGTTCGTAGACTTAAATGTGCAGCACCCACCTCCTTAAAAGCACTAGCTCTATCCTGCAGTTTACACAGTACAGAAAAAATAGCTGTGTCTGTTTATTGGCTGTTTCCTTATTACTGCCCAAAATACAGGAAGATCTGTGGCCTTGGTAGTTTCATTGCCAGTGTCATAACATAAAGCATCTTTACATGAACTACCATGAACAGAGTTGTAGTTCCCTGTGGCATTAGGGCATATTCAGGCTCTCCCTTAGTCCCTATCTATAAAACATCCTCCACAGTGTCACTGGCTTCTGCCCCAAGTTACTTTGCAAGCTAAAACCTGAGTGCAGGAAAGAGCTCCAGGATCTTGCAAAGTCCAAGTACTGATGTTTCATTTCAAAGTTAGATTTGGATTTTTACTTAGTTATCCAAATCATCTGAAATCTTTCTGTCTCCTCCTCTCCCTCTTTTTCAACCTCTCAACCAAATCAAATTCCCTTGTGTTAAAATGCAAGCAGTCTTTTTCTACTGACTCCCAAATCATATTCTTTACCTCACTGAGCTCCATTTACCAGATGTCTTCTTGACACTGCAACTCATCTTCACCATCCTCCACAGACCATCGCTGGTCTGATCCTGTCCTAAAGACATCTCCCAAGACTGACACTCTGTCTCTGCTGCTCAAAACTGTGTAACAGAGAAATTATATATATACACAAATATGTGTATATATATATATATAAAAAACACAGAAATCTCAGGGAACTGAGAGAGAAAAAAATTCCCATGGGTTAGCCAGCTTTGCAGAAACTTCTCAGCACCTGTGATGGTATAAGAAGTGTAGAAGTTGATGCACATGCTCAGTCTGACTCATCCTGGGCCCATCAGAGCCAATGCACATGTAGAATAGTTTTGTACTTGTGTATCCATCAGTTCCACAGATGGACAGAAAGATTTCTGTGGGCTAGATGGCAGCCTTATTGAAAAGGAAAGGAGGGAATGTATGCATGTATAGGAGAGTGGAAGAGTAAAAATACTGGTTTTTGGCTAGAGCTAGAAAGAAGTCCTTGATTCAAAACACATTAGTATGCATTAGCAAAAATCTAAATGTTGTTTACATGAAAAGGTTGTTCTTCAGTGCTGATATCAAGTACTTACAGTAAAGAATTAATCCTCAAATTTGTAAACATGCAGGTTAAATTTAGTTACTTTTAATTAAGCTGAAATTAATGCAGTTGCCTGTCTCTGAAAAACAAAGGTTTGAGCTTATAACATTCTGAAAAGATACATTCATTACAGTATAGCAACTGTGGTGAGAAACAGCGACAAAACTCGGCTTCTTTGGATAAATGCCATCATTGATTAATTGTAATATATTTACACTGTGTATAGATTCCTTGCAGTTACCCAATAAACACACTAGTTTCATTCTTTAGAGATTAACAATCTCTCTTGTGTGTTCAGGTTCTTTCCATCCTAGTACACTGTTTCTTTTGAAGGATTTGTATTCCTGAGTTGAACTTTAAGGACTTGGGGCACCTTATCACACTGTCACAAGCTTGCTTTCTGCAGGGGTGGGGGAAGGGGGGAGAAGAGAAAAAAAAAAAAAAAGCTTGTCAGGGCTTGTGCCAGTTAAATTCAAGCTCTCTGGGGATTTGTTTTTCTTTTAGCATCAGATTAGATGTTCGAATCAAGCAGCGTTTTCAGCAGCGGGTGGGTGTCTACGGAGCCTTTAATGAGGCTAATCCAGAGGGGGCACATACCAAGCAGCTGATGGGAGCGAGCCCCTCGCTCGCTCACACCCGCGTCCCCACCGTGCAGACCCGCTCGGCCACCCGGCTCTCCCGGAGGCGGGCGCAGCGGTGTTATTAGCAACGACCGGCGCCGGCGGAATGTGGGCAGTGCAGTTTGCTCTGGGACGGTCCCAAACGTCAAGTTTGACGCTCAGGTAATAATGGGCTTTGGGGGATTTTTACAAATAGTTAATGAAAAGTGATGGTTAATCTAGGGAATTGAGCGGAGAGTGAACTCCCAGGTATAAATATGGCATGGCGTTTATGAGCTCACTATGGACTTTAAATGAATGTTATGAATTAACATTGAAGGAGCGTTTGTGAAATAACAAAAAGTGAAGATAAGCTTTTTGCTTTACTCTTCTTGAATCTACTTTGCTAAAAGCTTTATTGCTCTATTCGTTCATGATACACAAAAGTTCAATGCAGACTTCATATCTAACGTAATTTTGTTATTAATGTAGTAATTTCCTCAAGTTATTTTGATTCTACTATGAAGACTGTACTGCAAGTAACATATTTTATTATACCTCTCAACTTTGTATTTCATTGCAAATGATCTCTGTCTCAGAAAGATCCTGACATGGGGCAATATAACTGGATGCTTTCTTTTTTGTTTGGAAAGACAAAGAATTATGAAATGAGTAAATCATGTATTTTGGCATTATGACTGTGGCAGGGAGGGCAGTATATTGTTTGAGATCTAAAACCTAGAAAGTCGTTTTTCTTGCTATGAATAAAGGACTCTTTAAATCAGGTTATTAGTTTGCAATTTTACATTTGATGAAGTATGATGAAAATTCAAATGCAAATTATTATTATATTTAGCATAGCTGGGTTTTTATTCTATATTCAACATCTGAATTGGAGTTAGTAAGAAAAAGAGTAAGAAAGCAGATTTTAAATGTCAGTTTCTTGTCCATATTTTTATGATAGCCTGCTTGGATGCCCAAAGAAAAAAGTTCTCAGTGAAGTACCTGTTACTCTACCTTTTTGTATGGGATTTTGTTGCTTAGAGAAATTGAATTAGTGGCCATCTTTAGAAAAGATACTTCAGGCCTATGTAGTAAGTTTACCAAGGTAAATCATTTGGGGAAATTTACATAAAATGTATGAAATGTAATAAAGGATTTTTTAATGAGTCTCGACAGCATGAATGAAATAATGTATTATGGAACTTCTGTAGTAGGAGCTGATTTTTGGATGCCATTCAGAAATATGACCTGTAAAAGCTTTTCATGTTTCTAGACAAGATAAAGGATATTGCAGGCACCTAGTTAGTGTTAAAACAAACAAGGAAGAAAATAAAACTGGCATTATTCTGATAATGTTCCTTACTTGGCAAAAAGTTAATGTGTATGTGCAACAAAGGTGATTCATATATCTGCAGCTTCTTATCAGTGTACCTATTCTTAAGGCAATACAGAAAGCATGTGTACTCTTGGAGCTTGAAGTAGGGCGAAATTTCAAGTTTATATAGTCCATACAATAAAGTACATAATTTTAAATGTTATCCCTGGAATACCTGAATAATAATTGTAACTTCCTTTCTTTCTATACAACACTCTGAAAAAATATATATATAATTTTCCCACATAGTTTAGCTTCAAGATTTCCGCAGTAAGGTTAAATGAAGTTCATAAAGTTCATTCTGAAAGCCTTGAGAAGTGTAGAAAGTTAATTCTTAAAAATCCTTTCTTTGTTTGAAAAAGACTACTAAATTCAGGAATTACTCAGTGCTGCATTAGACTTCCAAGCTGATTTGGTTGTATATTTTAAAGTTTTATCATTATTATTGCCAGTATCACAGCCTTGTAACTATTCAGAAGTTATAACAACTGAAAATTTCAATGAAATCTCTTCTATGAAGTCTACACACTTTTTTTAGACTTTCAGAATTTCTATTTAACTTTCCTTTGTTTACACATGAAACACACCTTGTTCCAGATTCTATAACGTATTAACTTTCTGTTTGCTACAATAAGGAAGAACAATCAAATGTGGTTCCGTTTAATGTTTTTTAAAGATTTTTCTTTTTATACCTGTCAGTAAGAGTCATGTGAGGGTGTCTGCCATTCCTATAGAACATGAAATCTAGCAGACTTTTCAAATAAAAATGCAAGTAGAGCAAAGATAAAATATATTTATTTAACATGAGTGACCACTAGTTCCCCTAAGGAACTAGATTCTCTGAAAAAGGCAAAAAAGAAAAACTTTTTATGTATGGTGAGTGATAAGCAATGGATGTAGTTAGAAATTCTTATTATGAGACTTTATAGTTTATACTTGTGACATTTATTGACTCCAAGAAATGTCCACAATTCAGTGTTTTCCAGAAGTCCCAAAAACACAAATCTTAGGCATCAAAATAGGATGTAGATTTAGTTGACAAAAATGTAACATTAGATAATAGTTATCATATAGGTATTTTAGGTAAATTTATAGAGGCATTTTCATGTTTTCTCTTTTTATAAATGCAAGGTGATAACATTTCACTTAAATTATCTAAAGCTCATTTCATGTTACTTAAGTCCCCAATAACTTTTTCCTAGTTCATAATTTATATTTCTGTTTATATTGTGCAACTAAATAGGCTATTTTATTCTTTACACATATTTTATAAAATATATCTGTTTTGTAATGACTTTTAAAAGGAAAATTTCAACACAGCTCCTTATTAAATGAAACAATTGAGTTCTATCTGGAGGAATCGTTTAGATGATTTACCAGGATTCATATTGCGTTGAGTGAGGACTGTCCAGATAATTAAATAGACCAGAACTCTGAAGTTTCCTCATATTTTTTTTGCTACCCATCTGTCTTTCTTTTAAAAAAGAACTCTTTTGTATCTGGAAATTAATACTCTACTGAAGGAAATGACTTGATTTCCTGAGAATATCTGGGGCTAGATTTTGGCTGGTATAAATTGGCATAATTTCATTGAACTCAGCCAGTTTTACAATTTACACCAGTTGATCAACTGACTCTTAATGTTTCAAAGATTTTTTTTTGTCTTTTTTCTCCAATAAGTCTTCCTTTTTTTCTTTTTTCCTGAAGATGTGCACATAATAAACTGTATTTTCAGGCTACAAGTTAAACAGCACTCTCAGTGCCTGTACAAAAAGTTAGAGTGGAATCAAGGTGCTATCAAATTTATTTGGAAATTTTTTCTAGTTTCAGAGATTTCTTTTAATTAGAGCTGACTTAGTTGTATCACTAAAATGGAAACAGATTTTTTAAAGTATTTTTAGTAAAATGCCATGTTTTTCTCTACTATGCAGAAAGCTCTGATAATTTCATTTGAATTAATTATTCTCCAGTGATTCCTGTTATGAGAATGTAGACAACAGCATCAAAGTCATCTGGCTAGTGAATATGAAAAAAATGTTAAGAGCTTGTGTTGGGTGCTTAGCTCTAGAAGGGAACCAGAGTTCTAATGGAAAATGTTTATTCGGTGCAGCATATTCACTGCATATCTGCATTGTCAGTATAGTTTTCTTTTATGTTTGAAGTTTCTCTTTGGATGTACTGTAAGTAGTGTTTAACAAGCACACAGAACTTAAGGCATTTCCTCTCTCTTTTTTAGGCACAGAAATCATGGATAGAAAGAGCATTTTACAAGAGAGAATGTGTTCGTATCATACCCAGCACCAAAGACCCCCATAGGTAATTGTATGCTACTTATATGAAAAAATAAAGTCAATTGCAAGATGTTTATATATGTGTGTGTGTATGTATATACATATAAGTCATTTGTAAAGCCATATTTAATCAGAGAGGTGGTTGAATTACATTTGGAGAGATGAATTCCTATGAGGCAAAGCGCTATTTCTTTACATTCCAAAATGTATGTTATCAAAACATAGAAATCAAAGATGGATCAGTGTCTATGTTTAATTTCCTCATCTTCCTAGTGAAACATTTGATTCCTTGAATATTTATTTAAATTGGATGCATAACACAAAATACTCTCAAATGAAGATAATTGCAGTGAACTACCAGTTTAAAATATGTGGTAGTCCATGCAAAGGCTGATTATTTGGCCTAATGCCATCTGAGGACATTATAAAACATTCTTTACTTTCATTTCATATATATTTAGAACAAAGCATGATTTTACTGAAAAATAGGAGAGTCCTAAGAAAATAGGATCACAGAAAGAAATGGTAGCATCTGTATTATTTGGCTTCCAAAAATAGAGTCTTCAGATAGTAGAAGAGTGGTTATCAGAGTTGAAAGAGAAGAGATAGTAGAAGAGCAGTTATCAGAGTTAAAATGGCTTTGGGTTAAAACAATTTTTTTTTAAGATCTATAATCTGTTTAATATAGTTTGTTCCCCTGTTAAGTTTATACATGCAAGTTACTCAGATGTTTTGTCTGTTTAATGTCATAGGTGTTGCTGTGGGCATCTAATAGGCCAACATGTTGGACTGACTCCAAGTATCTCCGTTATTCAGAATGAGAAAAACGAAAGCAGGCTTACTCTCCAGTCGGAGAAGTGGTCCATCAGCAAGCACACACAGCTCAGCCCCACAGATGCTTTTGGAACCATTGAGTTCCAAGGAGGAGGCCACTCCAATAAAGCCATGGTAACTACATTTTTCTCTTAGATAAATAATGCTTCTAACTCAAAAAAGACATTCACAAAAAATAAACAACTTACTTTCTTAATTTCATTCTAAAGTTTTATTTAGCGTAAGACCATACCATATGCTTTTATGTATCTTGTGCCAAAGAATCAGTGAACAGAGTGAACCGTAAAAGCTACAGTGCAGCATGAAAGGACTTACCTTTATGAAGATATGCTAATGTGCTGCTATTTTGATTTTTTTCTGTTGGCCAGCCCTCTCTCTTTTTTGGAATAACTTTAGAATTAAACTGTGGTTTCCCATTGCCTGGTGTGCCATTGCAAAGCTGAAACATTTGAAATATACCAGATTTCTCTTATATGCCTCCAGACATAAATTGGAGGATAGACCAGTTATACTTCCTTGTTTTACTTTCAATGAAATAAGAGGCCCAGTGGTAAGCCACTAAGCTAGGAATTGGGAATTTCCTATTCTGCCACAGATTTCCTTGGGAAACTCACTTAGTCATGATACACTGTTATTGAATGATGCCAAAGTATATTAATCTGAGCAGATTGCTCCACTAAGACAGTGATATGTTTCCAGTTCCCATGCTAACCCAAGCATGTATTTCTACATGGCATTACATGGTCCTGAAAGCGAGTCTCTCTAGCTATATCTAAACTGCAGTGCCTGGGGCTTTGGGAAAGAAACATGATTGTGTCCAAAGCAGATAGTGGCCAAAATGCTGATTTGGGCAGCTGTGATGGCAGAGGCCAAACCCCAGGGTGCTCTATGTAGTATCCTGCCCAGCAACCCAGTGGTATGTTCTTTGACTCAATTCTTCCCAATAGGGCTCTCAGAGCTGTCATGGTACTAGATGGATTAGAGAAGATGACATGAAGAGATGATGAAGCGCTCAGGTACTATGGTAACAAGAACCATATAAGTTCCTTAGATGGACATGAGGATGGGGGAGATGGAAAAATTGCTTAGATGGATGGTTTTGTTCACCCAGAGCAGTGGATTCTGTTGATAGAATAGAAAACACTGTTGCCCCAAGAAGCAGATAGAAAATTATGTCATTTCTCTGCCATAAACACCTTATGTTCAGCTGATGATCAATCACCTAAAAATCCACAAAGCAGATCAACCCATTGCTATAGAATCTGATTCAGTAAATAGGCTTTGTTTAGTGTGAATAAGTTAAAAGACCTTCCTTGACACAAATGGAACAAACTGTTCTCATGGTATCTCAGAAGGAGCGGGAACAGAACAGAATGCTTTTCACAAAATCTGAGTGAAACTTGGAGATATAGTAACCATCATGCTATTCTCCACCTTGAGTTATATCTATCTTTATGGGAAAGGGTAATCGCTAGAGTTTTTTGAGTGATGTCCTTCACAAGCTCTATAAAGCAATAAACTATACTGACAAGACAGAAGTAGTCTAGGGCAGACAAGAAATGATGAAGAGTTTAGGGAAGCTGTTGATATTAACTGAGCTGGAGGATTTATGTTTTTATCTGTTGAAATTCTGGTGTCCTGCAAACAGTGCCATAAGAGAACAGGAGATGCTCCAAAGTATATGCTGTGTGCTCAAAGGAATATACCTGGAGTGAAACTGTGAAGATAAAATTGGAAGTCAACATGAAGGAAAGAAATATCTTGTCACAAAGCTCAGCCAGGGTTTCTAACAAAAAAAATCCATGAAGAGTTTAGAGAAGAGAAGACAAAAAAGGTGTTTAAAAACCCCAGAGACCTAAAGTACAAGTAAAAAGTCAGGCATAAATGCAGACAAAACATTTATTATTGGAAAAACTCTGGATTTATTTTGACAGTACTAGAAAACAGGAGAAGTAGTTGCATTTGCCATCTATTCATAGTCATTAAACCCCATGCAATGCATGGAAACAACAAAATTCTGCATGATTTAAAAATATGTATAAAACCTCAAGAAATTCAATAATCCCACTAATGGAAAAAGCGCTTCAAATCAAACAATTCACTAAAAATCTCTAAATGGGTGTCCTGTTTGGTTACCACCAATGAGAGAAGCATCTTGCATATGACCAAAGCACAAATGAGGAGGTCTGCAAAAAAGTAATGGTGCTTTTTTTTTAATGAGAAAATACTAAAAAACTTTGTTATGCTACGGTGTTTGTCACTGAAAACAGCATGAAGATGTCCTTATGGTCACATTTCCAGTCCCAAACATTGTTTTAGGGTAGATTTTAGTCAAGGAGCTGGTTGAGTAGTTGTTGCAGTTTTATTAATAGAAAGAATGAAACTTCTAGCTCTGAATTTACTGGTTACAAAGTCTTTCCCATAATAAACAATGAAAGTTACCAAATCAAGGGCTTTCTGAAAAATCTGAGATGATTGATTTCTCAGTCAAAGCAACCAACCAATCTTGCCAGCAGAGGTAAGGAAAAAAGGAACATTTTAGTGTCTTGAGAAATAAGGCTTGGAAAAAGGAACAAATACATAATAATCCATGGAAATGTTCATGTTCAGGCAATACTTAGATATTACATTTTTGAACTCAAAAGCAAAGAAGCTCAAACATCAATGCACATGCACACAGAGAGAGAGAAAAGAGAAAACATGATAAATGAGCATTTGTTCTTTTCTGAAATAGCCTACTTAGTTATTTTCTAAGTGCTAACTACTGGATATCGAATATCACTGTAGCATACAAGCTGAGGTTTATTGGCAATCATGGTAGGCTATTATGCCTATTGCATAAAAGAGTAACTCTATAAAACAACAAGATTTAGTAAGCTGACCAAGATCAAGCAAAGCCTCAGGGGAAGAGTTTGGAATAAAATTCACCACCTGTTCCTTACTTTATTTCCTGGAACAGATGCCCGTACATGAAGACTATTAAGCAGAGTAAATACAGAACTGAGTAGCATTATCTTCATCTGTGCTAACAGCAAACCTAGTAAGTTTTTCTGGATAAAGGCTATGAAGCATGTGATAAGATTTATTAATATAAACAACTATATCCTCAGATTTGCGGTTGGGAAACTAGTACCTGTAGTTAATTCATGGAACAGATTAGTGGGTGTAAGACTGACAGATAATGATTTTCCCCTGTTGAAAATAACAAACATGAATTTGATGGTAAGCATTCACATAACTTTGCATGCATAGTTGCAAGCCACAAATGCAGTGATATAGTACTCTATCAATTGCCACCAGACAATTAACAATGTCATATTATCTTTAGTTTTTGTGAAAACAAAAATCACTTTGAGATTGTAACAGCAAATGTGAGTTTGGAACAAAACAGCAAAGACCATGTAGGCTTGCATATTGCCAATAAAAGTGGCTGTGTCATTGATTTTAATTCCCCAGTCACAGAACCAAAATTCTCAAGCAGCGTTAATTTTGCTAATACCATAGAGTTGCTAAAGCATCTTCAGTAGGGCTGCACTAAGCTACTTAAGTCAATAATTTGAATAACAGAGTACAATAGATTATCTGAAAACATATAACAGAGATTAGTTAACACTGTTTAATGAGATCAGTTGCTAAAGAGGCCTTTCTTCTAGTCTAGTAACCACAGATGATCCTGTAACAATATTGTGTCCCTCTTTTAAAATCAGTATCAATCTCCATTTTCTTTACAAATGGCTCATCCCATTAATGTTTAAGAAATGCATTTCACAGTTTTGCCATTCACATTTAAGTTTGTTTTTGTGGCAGGTGTTTTTATGAAAACTGTAAAAAGACAGCTTTGAACAGGAACAGCTAAAGGCAGAGAAGGATGTGGAAATGCATAAACTTTTTCAGCAGCTTTTGCAACAAATCAGTGGATTTAAAAAAAAATGGAAAAATAATATAATGGAATCAGTGTATATCAGCTGGCTCTGAGTAGTTTTAGAAATAACATGTATCTGTCCATCTAACTTTATACCAGCAAAGTAATACCCTAACTCCAAGAGCAGTTATTAAACAAACGTGACAGATTACATTCCAATTATGAGCAATATTCTGGACCATTTCAGAATAAAAAGATTTTGGTCATTAGTGGACCAGTTAAGACAATCTTGCTGTCCTGCATTTTGCACTGAACTTGTGACCAAATTAAACCAATTTTTTGAATTTAGCATCTGCCTTTCTATATCCAAAATAATTGACATTCTTTCATTAATTGGTAAATCTGAATTCCATATCAATCTTTTTTTAATGACCACTCTTTACTGAACTGAAATTGCTTTGATCATGGTTATTCAAGGTTAGGTGGAAGATGGCTGTTTGAAAAGCTTTAGTGAGTTAAATACATTTGTTCTTTTTTTAATAACTTCCTCCTAATCAAATGCATTCCAATTATATATTTAATATGCACAATAAAAAGCTAGCATATGTTTGTAGCTGTAGAAGATAGAAAGTTTATTAGAGTGCTAAGGGCTTAATGTTTCTTATGGTGCATGGAAACATGAAAGAACTTCAATAGAATTCCAAAGTACGTAAACAATTTTGGCAGAGAGACCTTCTGATATTCAGATCCTCAATACATTATACTTTACTAAGGATATTTGGAAATCAGACAAATAAAAGGTATTATTTTTTGCTTTTAAAATTTATTGAGTTTTGTCAAAACTGTGCAAAAATTATCTTAAAAGCCCTCAATGCTTTTGAGAGAGAAAAAGGAGAGAGAATCCTTTAATTGACATAAAACATGAAAAAGGCAATGGGTTTTATTTTTGTTATAGTAGATTAATATTCAAAGCACATTTACAGAATTTAAGAGATGATGTGCTACATGGAGAGAAAGGAGAAGTAACGCACAAAGACATCCATCCAAGGTCCATTTACATTAATGAGGGTCCTTCCACTGACTATTTAGTAGAATTTAGATGTCCTTAAGACATCAAAGAATATTAACTAGTAAGGAACCAATGTGGTTTCAGTTTAAGTGATAGTTTTGCTGTTGAGTTTAGAGAGAATTAGATTAGGCCTATTTTCTGTGAATATCAAACTTCAAGGGATCAATCTTGACCTTGAAGAACTATCTGTAACACTGGAATCATACTCAAGATGGGTGAAATGGTCAGTAGTATTGGCCTGCCCTCAAAGAGAAAGCAAAGCAGCAATGTTAGACTGCCTTGCAGATCACAAAATGTTATCTGAAGAGATTTTCTTTAAAGAAATACAACAAAATAGATTTTTATCTAGGTCTTTCCATTTTATTCACTGAGAATCTCCTCTGCAGTCATGCACCATGTTCAGTTGGACAGCTCGGTTTGAGTAACAGCATAGAATTTTTACCACTTAGGAATTTCCATTTTTGGCCTAGGGCAAAGGAGGAGAGGGTCCAGCTTGCAAACATCTGGCTGTTTGACTGGTGAGAGGCGCATTTGTTTCTTAGGTGACTGCTTGACGACAAATTGAAATAAATACTAGTATCAAATGGCACCCTTCTTGACAACCTCCAGGCCAGATTAGGGATAAAATGGCTATGACGACTTGAACTGATGTGTCATTCTACGGTGTTATGCTGAAATCAGTCAGGTCGGTCGGTAGATTTTATGGTTAAAAACTGTACTACTGCTTCCAATTTTTGACCTGCACTGCTGATATGCAATAACTGAAGAAATCTTACATCCTATCCATATGCCACTCCCATAAAGGAGAGACTCAATAATTTGCCATTAGGAATGATCACTTCTAAAGTTGACAGACAAATACCCCAGACCCTGAAGTTTGGGGGAACAGAGCAGTAGTTTAGCTTAGGTTCATATTTAAGTTTTAAATCTACCTCAGGAGGCTATAGCAAAAGAAATCAGGAATGGCAGAAGTACTCATTAAGATTCGAAATAGAAACTGAAAAGATCAAATATTCTGCTACAGTATTGAAAGAAATGAATGTTTAATATGGCCAACAATGGCCTTAAAAGTGTTTATTCATAACTTAATGGATGCTTTGGAAATGATGACAAAATAATTTTCTTGTACTCACTAGGTAGCATGTAAAGTAATGGCAAAAGAATTATCCCAGGCATACCGAACTGAAAATGCCTTCTGTAAGAGTTAAAATGAATCCAACAGTAACAAAAATTGAGGTCAATGCATTTTCTCTGCAAAGAAGAAAAATCAACATTTAGGTACCATTGCCCTTCTCAAAAAAACTTTCTAAACAGTAAGGCTCATCTATGATGGTTTAAATTTAAATTTACATTAAAAAAACTTTCAGATTTATTTTTACTTAAATTTCCTCCTTATAAAGTAAAATGAATTCTTATCATAAATATAGAGGGTTTTGGCCTATATTATAAGGAACAAGCAGGCATTTGTGATAAAAGATGTCTACATTTCAAATAAATGTAAGAAAATACTACTTCTAAATCTGCAATTCAGCATGTGTCTTTGTCTTTATTGGAACTCAGAGGTCTAGGTGGATAAGGAATTGAAAGAGATTTTTGCCAATCAATGGGTGGGCTTAAGAAGTTAGGGACAGTGAAATCGCACCTTCTGGGGCATAAACCAATACTAGAGGTTCAAAAAAACAGTCACTAGGTAGATTAGGTAATATACATCTGATGCTGTTTGTGTCTTCATTTTAGCATCAGCCTGAGGCAGGATGGATATAAGCATGATTCGAGTTAGAGCAGTTATCTGGATGGTTCAGTGGCCTCTGTTCTCAACAAATCTATATGGCTATTACTCTTATCAGTTAATTTTCTGTAATCATCTTTTTGATTTTAAACTCCCAGTCTGCATTCACCAAAAGCACAGTAAGGCATCAATTGCACCGCAACATAGTTTCCACACTCACTGGCAGAGGATTCAGTCTTTGGAGTCACTGAAATAAAGCCCATGCTTCACTATAAATGCCTGCAACATAATGAGGACTTGCCTTTGCAGCCTCAGCTCTCCCTAAGGGCAGAGCCAAGGGAATAAACATTAGTCACCTAGCAGCTCTCCTATGTGTTAAAACTTTGACAGCTCTTGATTCTTAATCAAAATTATGCACTTCACCTTCTGGCCAGTGGGATCAGGTACCATGCAGGGTTTTCTCAACTTCCGGGTAATTGGATGGGTTGCTACTAAGGATACAGTACACATATAGAAGCTCAAAGATACATTGCACTCTTGCCAAATACAAATATTGTATGTTTGTCTATTACCTGTTAAGAATTTGCCTGGCAGCTGCAGGGAACTTTACTGATTTAGTGGGATGAATTTGTGCTCACAAGTTCTTGTTCATCTTTCAGTCTGGCTGTGCTCCACTTGCTTTCCTGTGACTGTTTGCCCAAACGGGCTTCTGCTTCCAGAAATGTAGGGAATGGCTGTTCATCATGTGAGAACCCATTCTTGCAAAGAAATCTGGCTATTAGGAATTTGTGATGAAAAAAAAGTCAAGTCCTTTAGTTTTTCTTATTCAATTAGAGAGGAGTCCATGTAAATATCATATGATTTTTCAATACCTGAACAACCTTATGGCAGGAAATGCTGATTAGACATATTAAAAAGGAACAAAATTATTATATAGTATGTGTGGATGTGACACTACCTGAAATGTTACAGTACATAAGATAGAACTAGAAGTTGTTCATCTAGAAGAAGAACTAGAAGTTCATCCAGTTCCCCCCCAGGGGAAAGACCCCTGAAATAACTCTATATGCATTAGTTCAATCAGAATTTTGATACATGAGTGGCTTTCTATAGCCTATTTTTTCTGATTAAGGAAGCCCTTCCTTAGAAGCTATAGGAAGGATTTTATCCTCTCATGACCGTTTTTCTGCTGTGCAAATGAAATTCAAAAAAGGTATGAGCCCTGGCACAGGCTTTGTGGGACTCCTCGTACATCAGCAATAGAAAGAGCAGAGGAAGAGCCCAGGGAGAGGGGCTGGTCTGGAAGAGACAGGTATGTGTGCTATATAATATTACTATAGAAATTTTGAACACAGTTGTTCACTTTGTGCACTCACAGATAGGCATCATCTCCCTTGGGACAAAATGCTGCAGGTGTAGCACATAAAAGCCAAGAACTGGAAATGTGTAAAGGTGTTTCAGAGTACTTTTAGGTTTCTTGCCCTTGTAATGCAAATTCATGAATTTGTACAAATTAGTCTGTAAGTCCTAAGTTAGCCCTTGTTGCATTCATTCATCTGAAAAGTATCTGTTTTGTAGTCTTGCTCAGTTTCAGCTTCTGTGTGTGTGAACAACCAATCTCGTCTGGTATTTCCTACCTTTTCAGTGTTTGATTTTGTTAATTTAAAAATCAGATACATGGGAATGTCCATTATTGCAATATTGTGGATTTCCTTTAGTGTCTGGAAGAAGATGAAATTCAAGTACAGCTATGACTCTGGCTACCTGGGTGGTCTTTAGCAGATCACTTAGATTTCTGCTTCAGTATCCACATCCATAAATTAAAGACATTCATCTTTTTAACATTGATAAGCATGTTGAAATGATTAATGGGTTAATTTCCTTAACAAAGGAAAATTGTCCAGCCTGTGAATTGCAAGTATTCCATGTTTCCTAGTCTCACAAATAGCTTTTTTTTTAAATCATCAAGTTAGCAATTAATTAGTGCTTTTTGCTGTGAAGGTTGCCTCTTTTTCAGTAATCTGTTGGGCATAAATCATATGCATTAGACACTGGGTATAACCAATCTTTTTTCTCTTTACTGCTGCCCTTATTTCTGCAGTATGTACGTGTGTCTTTTGACACAAAGCCTGACCTTCTTCTGCACCTGATGACCAAAGAGTGGCAGCTTGAGCTCCCTAAACTTCTCATCTCCGTGCACGGGGGCCTTCAGAATTTTGAACTTCAGCCAAAACTCAAGCAAGTCTTTGGAAAAGGCCTCATTAAGGCTGCTATGACAACTGGAGC